AACTGAAAATATGGATGGAGGACCTCAGTTTAGCTTGTTTGTCGCGCTAACACTGAGCTAATACATTTAAGGCAATATAGCGTCAGCACTAGCACGAAGGCTAACAGGCTAAACTGAGGTTCTTCATGAAGCAGCTCTGTTGTCCTCCATCCATCCAAGCTGGTTAAAAATGATAAAAAGTAAACAGCCTGCAGTATTTTTACAGTCTTTATTTTAGTTAAAATCAATGTTTATTAAATAAAGTCTAATGTTACAACTAATCAGGGATCCCTTTAAAAATCTGCTCTAAAAATAATCTTTTCTCCTCTGCTACGAGTGAAAACCRGTTTGTTAAACTGTGGGTTGTTTTACCACCTCGTCCTCCTCTCCTCTTAGCACCGTTTGACTTCGTTGACATCAGTTTTACTTTGTTTACATCAGTATTTRTTTACAAACTTGGTTTTTAACAGCGCCCACTACACTTCTGCCATGTTGTAAACAAACGGTGGTGATTTGTTTGTGACAAATTTCCAAAATGTCACTTCCCCTCAGTTAACAGATGTTCCTGCTCCTCAGAGCTTAAAGTCAGATGAATGTGATCTACTGATCTAATTCATCACTGAACCTTCGTTTGGTTTGTTTACAGAACATCTGTGGGTCTCGGCAGTATTTCAGTAATAAAACCAGAACTGTGCTTGTGTTCCAGGAGGGCTGAAGTCGGACTCCAGCAGCCCCCTCGTACTGTTGGTGGGCTCCTCGTCAGAACAAGCCTCCACCTCCAAGCAGCAGCAGCTGTTCGGGACGTCGGACTCCAGAGACGAGATCTTCTCCTTGGGAGGAACTAGCTTCACAACAAGCAAACCCTGCAGCAGCAGGACGCTGAGGTGCGACTCAGACTGTGCAGCGGTGAAAAGCTCCTCCTCCTCATCGTCACGCCGTTCTGTCTCTTCTTCCTGCTGCAGGGCGGCCATGTTGGAGCGCGAGCCGGAGAGCTCCGGAGTCACTCACCAGTCTCTGCTGGAGGGGATCTCTGCTGCGCAGCAGGCAAACCAAGGTCTGTTCAGCTTCCTGTAGCAAACTGCAGCAGCTCTGCTACACTCAGACGAGTCCACAACAATAATGTAGTTTTTTAATATTCTTCATGTGAAGTTTTAAATATTAAATAAATGTTTGTTTCTGTCTGTAGATCTGTCAGCGTCTGTGTTGGTGGCAGCGACCAGCAGTGAGAGCGACACTGAAGACGAGGCTCTGCAGAGCAACAACTCTCGTTACGACAACCACACCCCTCCCTGCACAGGTAACACACACACACATGCACACACACACACATGCACACACACCCCTCCCTGCACAGGTAACACACACACACATGCACACACACACACATGCACACACACCCCTCCCTGCACAGGTAACACATGCACACATGCACATGCGCGCACAC